GTCTCTGGATATGTCATATGTAAGTTTTTTTCTTTTTTTCTCTCTTTCTTTTTGTAGGTTATATTTTTTTTAAGGAAAAAAGGAAATTCTAACAAACATAAATTATTGTAAGATTTTAACATTTAATGCAGATAAATGGTTTTGAAAAAATAAAATAAAAAATTTAATCAAATGATGTTTTCATTTTTTCTCCTTCTAATTTTAATAATATTTCTAATATTAGTTTTATTAAATACTTAAAATATAGGAAAAATAATGTATTTAAAGAGCATATTTTTTAGATCCACTTTAGGCGCCTGGTAAGTCCGGACCGGCCCTGATCATCACCAAACCATTAACGTAATAAATAGGATACATGACTCGACGGAGAGGAAATTTTATTTTGGATAAAAAAATGGTTGATATCGATATTGATGACGACGATAACGAAGAAGAAGAGAATAAGCTGCAATTTATGCGTCCAGTTTGGTCATCTGTATTGCATAAAGCAAGTAGGAAACGCAAAGGTTGACTCAATGATCGAAAGTGAAACGTTCTGATGAAAGTCTTGTTGCAGATGGTTTGTTGCCATGATTTAGATACGATCATAAACCTAACTACGGATTTTAAAGGCAACCTGTTAAGAATCTCGATCTGTAGATCCAATGGAACATCATTGGTTCTCCTCTTTCGCAAAGATGAAGACTTTTGCTGATCATATTGTAACCCCTAGGAGATAAACCGGTTATAATAAAATAACTAGGTAATAATCCGCGTTTTGCGCGGATAAAATGATCATTTGAAATTTTATATTTTATATAGGGTAAAATTATAAATTAACTATGCATGCTTTTATAGGAATGTATTTTTTTAAAAAATACCACAAACCTTCCAATGTTTCATGATATCAATCGTTTACATCAGTTATTATTGTGTTTCTTAATAATGGACGTCGTGGGAGATATATTGGTAAATTTTATTATATAACATAATATAAAATAAAATAAATGATGTATTTTTTCTGTTCTCGTTCTTATATGAGACATTTTTCAATGTCCGGAAATGTTGATATGTAGTTATAAAAAAACAGTTTTTTTTGTGTAAGTAGAACATGTTATGGTGACCATTTTTTTACATGTATAACTGTCCAATTTAATTTTTACTCAAGATCTTTATATATAAAGAAAAGTTCATTCCCTCTTGCTCATCCACGTCATAAAATAAGGGACTCTGAACGTGCCACGTGGCAGGAGATAATCCGCAGCGTTTTATTGCATCATGCGTGACATTGTTTGGGCTTTTGATATAACCTGGCTTTTTTGGTTTGATTTCTGGGTTATTCTTTATTTTGTTTATGTTCATTCTTGGTTTTGGTCCATTGTAATTGACGGAACTATTTGATTATGTTTTTCACACTTCATAATCTGATCCTTTGCACTTGAATCTTCTTATGTTATCTTCACAACTCCAATAGCATTTGAATATGAATAGCATGGTCCAGAGATTGGCTTCTCCTCTTGCCCTTCCTCAACAGGTTTTGTTTCGCTATTCATCCTTTTGAATGTCCTTTTTTCTGTAATCTTATCTTTTAAGGCGTTCATGTAGTGTCTCATGCCCTGGATTTTTATCAGTCATATATCAGAGTTGTCCCTTCATATCATCGGAAGGGTTGATTTGCATTTTGTTAAGTTATTAATTCCATCCAAATCAACAAAGTTTTATTACCTTTAAATGCTTTTAAGCATATTAGATCGGTTTTTCTCCTTGCAGGTTATAATAATAGATTCTTGAAACATTTATTTTATATTTCTGAAATATGAAAGAGTTGCTTATATATAGGTTGTCCAGAGAGATGAAGATGTGAAAGTGATTGAACTGGTAGGGATGAGGATTGGTTGCCTCCACTGCCAAAGGTTAACTCCAGTAAAAGCAAAGATTCCGTTGCAGATTCAACCATTAAATCATTGAGGTATTTTTGTATGTATGTGCTTCCCATGTTTGTTATTAGAAAGGGGGTTCGATTACATCATGTTGCAGCTCTAGAATATTGATGTCATCAGAACTATTAGAAGTGTTCTTAGACAGAGCATAGCTCTGAATTGCTATGGCCGGCATGTAACAATGACATATCAGTATACACTATATAGCATATACATAATAAGAGATGTGAAAATTGAATTCGGCACCAGTAATATTAGTTATTTTGGGTGATCAATTTATTTCTGCTTAGGTTGATGGTATGGTAGCAATTAGAAAATTTTCTTGCCGTAAACCATGGGATGAGAGAACCCAATACAATGGACATGAAGAAGCTGTTCCAAACTTCCAGTTGGAGATTTCCACTAAAGCAACTTTATACGAAGAGTTTCTAATTTGCTTTTAGTGTCTTTTATCATTTTCTTTTCCTAGGTGACTTCATATAAAAGTGTTATTTATAAACTTGCTGCAACTGTAAAAATGTTTTTTTATTAGTCAATTTATATCTTTTATTATTATTTTTAATTTTTTTCTAATTTATATCTTTCATATATAAACTCTAAATATTACAACCAAATTTAGTAACAATATGACACATACATTCAATTTCGAAATGAAACTTTCTTTTTCAAAAAACCAAACAAAGAAAAAATTAATATGCAGTACATGACAATATATAACATTTAGGAAAATCTGCTTAACTTAAATCTCTGAAGGACAAAATATAAAACAAAACAATCATGATAATTATTGGATACATGACATTTCAACCATGACGATCTTCTATAGCAAAATTATGTAACAACATATTGCTTCATTCATACATAGAAATTAAGAAAATCCTTAAACCTATGAAGTCTGTCACTCCATGTATACACAAAACAAGGATAATATCTCCGTGCGAAGGATAAGGTGAGTTAGTGGAATCAAAGTCTTGCTTGACAATAACACATATCCTTTATTGCTCATGTTTGAACCGTGTTTTTTGCTGCAGATGAGATACTATTTAAGAAGGCTAATCTAGCAATAGAAAAAGGCTAAATTTTCTACCTTATTAAGACATTGTTTCGATTCTAATCAAATTTTCATTACATTTTTTTTTTGGGTATAACATCTACATATATCGTTGAAACTTTACACATTACTAATGTTGGACCTATTATTTATGCATTAAAATTTTTCTTTTTAAATTATATTTGAAAAAAAAATTATTCAAAATGAATATTGTAAAATATTAAAAATTAAAGTTATTTTTTTAAATAATAGATTTTTAATATAAAATATTAAACATAATTTATTTTAAATTTGGAATAGATTAATTATTTTAGACATTTCATCATATTTTAAAAATATTTATATTATTTTGTTCATTTGCTTACCCGCCCGTAGGGCGGGTTGCCTACTAGTTTTTTTATAAAATAAATACAAGTTTGAGGTAATAACAAAAGGATTCACATTTTCATAATTCATTATGAACATGCATGATGGACTCAAATAATTAAACAAATTTAAAAAGATCACTGCAAACTATGGATTTAAATGGTTTAAAATCGACTATGGAGTCGCCATTACTTTTTTTTTCCTGTGAGAAGTCGTTTGTAATTTTGGTTTGGGAAGAAGATTGTGATTAGAAGATATACTCAATGCTACATATTTATATACTCAATGATGTGGTTTTAGGGTTCAACTTTAGAAATCGTATCAGACTAATTTGTAAAATATTCACGAATTAATATCCCAAAACTTGCGCTCCCATCTATTATATTAAAAGAAAAGTTATGATTCACTTCATGTGTGATTTTTTTAGTTTGGATCATTCTTAAAAAAATTATAAAATTTTATACAACATCATTATAATATCTTTTCATATCTTTAATTTTTATTTGAAATACAAATAAACAGTTTTAAGAAAATTCTAACAAAATCTTCTAAAAATCTTTTAGAATCTTTTCAAGATATATTTTCAAAAAATATTTGATTAAAATTTTAATTATCATAACATATATTTAAAATTTTAATATTTTTATTTGTAAACAAAATTTAAAATTATGTAAAATACTTTAACAATATCCCCAAAAAAAAATTATGTATTATGTAAGTCCAACTTAAATTACCTTTTACATATATTTTAAATTTAGAAATAAAACAAAATATATAAATTATTAATGTTACATAATAATGTTTTTAAACTTGTTACAAAAATAAAAAAAATTATAAATTTTAATGTTAATAATATTATAAGCCACATAAATATTATTATAAATTGGATAGTATACATAATCAAATTATATTTATTTATTGATAAATTTTACTTCCTCCATTCTTTAATATATGATGTATTGGATCACTGCACAAAGATTAAGAAATTTACATTCTTTTACAATAGTATTTTTAAATATATAATTTTAAATCATTCAACCAATTATTAAAAAAACAATATACTTTTATTATTTGAACAGTTTTCAATAAAGTTAAAAGTAACCTTCAAACCTCAAAATATACCTTAAAATTTCAAAACATCTTATATTTTAAAACAATTTTTTCTTAAAAAAAAATATCATCTACTTTGAAACGGAGAGAATATTATATAATTTCAAATATTTTTATATTAAAATACCCGCACGGTTGTGCGGGTCGAGATCTAGTTTCTCTTAAAAGCTTTCCTTAACCCACAAATTAACTAATTAACACTTTACAAATTATGTAAAGAATATCATATACAAATTATATCATCAATGTGATTCCCTTAAATTGCTTAGTAATGATTTTGCGGATATAAGACTGTTGCAGTATATTAAAAAATTGCATCCATGAACTTACCTTTTATACAGTAATGATGCTGCAAAATAACCAATGGAAATAAAAATCAATTAATTTAATCCCAATGAATCCAGTCATCCAGACGTGTTTCATTTAACATACTTTTACGTTGTTCACAGTTAATCATATTATATGTTTTATAAAACAAATATAATTAATTGAATCAAGTGCATAATGATTTTCTATATGTTCCACAGAAAAATATAGTACAGTTGAATCACACATGAGAATAAGGTTAGTTAATAATAATGTTTCTAAAATAATAATAAAGGGATGATAAATTGTCGGCAAAAAAAAAATTAATAATAATAACGATACATTATATTTTATTGAAGATTGATAACCGAGCTTAGATGCTGCACCACTGAACCCGACCCGAGACGCCATACCCAAAAGGGATCAGAAGAGAGGAATCTGGGTTAGTAGTTGTTCCAGTCAGTTTCTCGAAGATATCCATGACGAGGAGCATTGAGATGAGAATGTATGTACCTACTATATCCAACGGGAGGCCATGGATGGCTCTTGATGTCTTCAAGTGCTTAAGCTCTCTCATTTCTGATACCAAAAGTTAGTTTGGTCTTCGTCTTGCCAGTTCTTAAAGGTGAAACAGAGAGAGAAGTGAGATGAAGAGAGTGACCAAGTGGGGCTAATGTGAATTTGGGGTTTTATTTGAAATTAAAAATTTATAACTTTTTGGGGACAGACTGTTGCCTTCTATTACTCATCTTTTCTTGAGATTTGCACAGAAAACAATTATATTTGATTTGCTAAACAAAATAGAAAATAATGATGTTTGATTACTAAAATAATTAAATTAATCTAAAGGAATATACTAGAGTATTTGTCATTTTGTATTTTGAGCAGAAATGAAATTATCTATTAAAACAAATCCAATGAATGAATATGGGTGTAGAAATATATTATTTTTCCATATTTTTAAGGTAAGTTTTACGCAAGAAAAAAAAATTGGTGAATAGATATCGTTCAATCTAAAGTTATTGTAAATATTTCTTCTAACATGTTATATATATAAATTATTATTTTTAAATGACTAATAAAATACAATAAATAGAATAAAACATTTTTAATAAAAAGTACAAAATCTTCACTAATACATTATATAATAATTTAATAAGACTTCTATAGGAAACATGTATCTAACAGAAAAATAAGAAGAAAAAAAAACAGAAAAAAAAAACTCAAAAATAGTGATTTACAATTAACATAAGATAAAAATTTAAAACTAAAAACAAAGTTTAAAACGAAAAACATGATGAAAATAAATTCCCGCGTGAAGTTTAATTTTATATATTTACTAATTATTTTTAATAGTATAAGAAAACAGAAAACATGTTCTACTTAAAATTTATAATATAAAATATCTTTATGGTTTAGTAAAACTGATATCTAATTCATAAAATACTACAAAAGCTACATATATTTGTCGTTTCTGATATTAAACTGAATAGACGGAATATCGGCAGTATGTAAACCAAACCAAATTAAAGTATATATGGTTTTATTATGGTTGCTATTTTAATAAACAAAAATTACCTAAAACCGAAATTCAGATTAAACATCCCTACAGATTAACCAAAACTACAGATATGTAAAATTGTTAAAAAAAAAAAAACAAAGACTTGGATATTGCTTGACTAAAAAAAAAAAAAATCACACTACCTTAACCAAAAAAAATTACAGATACATACAACAACCTTATTTTCGGTAAAAGAAAGCCTCAAACACAATTTACAAACCCAGTTAATAACACCTAACAAAAAGGTTGAACCCAACACTTTAAACAAACCTAAGGTAATATATCCAATCGCGAAGAACTTTAATAAGTTCCAACCATTCGTACTCGCATCAAAACCCACAAATTTTCAAAATATACACATCTTTTATAAATACAAATATAAAACACAAACCACAAAATTATATAAAAATAATAATCTGGATTATAAATAATCCCTTATACGGATGTCATTATTGATGGTTCATTAGTGTTGTCCCTTAGCGAAAAGATCCTTTATACGGATATCCTTTAGCATTTTTAGTTAAAAGCTAAGGGATAACGCTAAGGAACAACGCTAAGGGACCACCAGTACTATTGCCTTAAGGACCTCTAATGATTGGAAATGTTCCCTTTTTAGTTTGACAAGCTTGAAATAAACATTTAGGTTTAATAAGTAAGCATACAGACATTTAGTGTAACAACAAAAAGATCACACACAAGCTGACACACACATCTATCACCATATGCTTAAAACTATTTCATTAACAAAGATACGATCTCGATAGTATTTTCTAATTTACAACCCACTCCAAAAACACATGGAGAGTCTGACATTAGAACCATCACATACATGATCTTTAATTAACTGGAAAAAAATAAGGTCAAAAGACTATTATATTTCCATTTTATTATTTGAAATTAAATTATACCGTCCCTAGAATCATTTTCTTTCTTTCTTGAACATCAATATAATAATAGTAAAAATAAAAATCATCATCTAAGAATCTGTGCATTGCCCACCATCTGATGAGTCCCCATTGCTCCACACCCTTTCATAACCACGCCACCACTCACCGCCCCCGTGACTCCACCACCGCCAACCAAAACCCTACTTCCTCCCCCGCCGTTAACCACCGCTTGCTCCTCCAGGGACTGCACTTGTTTCTTTAGAAACTTCACATAATGAATGGCCTCGTCGAGCATCGAAGCTGTATCCATCTTGGTTCCACCAGGAACAAGCCGTTGCAAAATACGAATCCTCTCGCTTATCCTCTCCCTTCGGTGCCTAGCAGCCACGCTCTGTGGGTCTTTAGAGATCCTCACGTTCCTCCTCTTAGGTGACTTTACCGCCTCAGGGTCGATATGTATCGGTTGCATCACGGCGATACGAAAGATCATCTCTCGCATAGCTGCCATGTTCGTGTTATTGTTTCTTTTATCTTGCAAAACAGAAGAGTAAGCTGTGTTGGGAGAGAGAGAAGAAGGGTTAGAGAGTAATCCGGAACCGTATAGGAAACCGGGTTCGTAGGTCATTGAGTCAGGATGGTTATGGTTTGAGTTGAACATAAAAGGGTAAGTGTTGTTGTTGTTGTTGTGGTCGACGAAAGATGGGTTAGTGTTACAGAACTCAGGAAGCTTCTCCATTTGTTGCATCATGTTCATTATGTCAGAATCCATGGAGAGAAAGAGATATGGGGAAGCTGTTGAAATGGGAATGGAGAGTAACTGAGAAAAGCTTACAAAAATTAAATTTTAGGGTTTTTTTTCTTTCTTTTAGATGATTGATGATGATGAGAGAAAGAGACGGTGTGTGTGAGAAATGACAATGGTACTACCGCCCAATCAGAACTCAAGTAATACTACACAAGAAGTGGAAGGATTTATATAGCAACTTGTGGCCCATCATCTTCTTTTATCTTATACTATATATATATATATATCTTATTTTCAACTCTCAGTTTATGTGTACCTGTCTATATATGTGTGTAAAGATTCAATATTCAAAATTGTCTTATTGTCTCAGTGATTAAATATTCAAATTCCAGTTTTACACATGCATTTAAAATAATGATTAAATATATTGTAACAACTAACAAGCTAACCAAGTTGCTTTGGTCTAGTGGTAAAGGAGCTCTAGTTGGAGTGTCCGTCCCTGGATTCGAGCTTTAGCCACGGCGGAATTTACATATGGGCTGCAGTATCCGAGACCGAAGACCGTTATAGGTAAACCACATGGTGACGTTCTGGTAGTGTCCTTGCTCGCTTCGGTCTCTAGTCTGGACCACTTCGGTGAGATCAGGATACTCGATTAACGAAAAAAAACAAAAAAAAAACAACTAACAAGCTAATTCGAAAAACAACTAACAAGCTAACGAATTTATTAGTTTTTTTTTTTGTCAGCCATCCATTTACTCTAAATCAAGTGGTGATCAGTCGAGTCGATTTTCCGAGGAGAAACTCCGTCTGGTCGGGTCTGATCTATATGGGAAAATAAATAACCTCTACTCCTCGCTTCCTTAGCTAGTGCATCCGCTCTTCCATTTCTACTCCGCGGAATATGAGACAGACTCGCATCCTCGAAATCCTCCCGTAGTCGCTGAAACACCTCTATCTCTGTCGCAAAAGCCGGCCAGTCCTCCGGTCTAATAGACATGTCCACTAGATCCGAACAATCTGTCTCAATCCGTATCAAAATCATCCTCAAATGAGACTGCCCACAGTAGGCCTTCCATCTCGGCATGCAAAGCTGATAGGCTCCTTATACACACCCGTAATCCGAACCATTCATAACCCATTTGATACTTGAGACTCCACCCTAACCCACTGACACTACTATTATCAATCCATGATGCATCAATTTGGTATGTAGGGGTTTGGGGGATCCTAGGGGGTTCTGAACTAGGAGGTACCTCATGATCCTCATTTACTTCCTCCTTCTCGTTTGCCTTCCTCCAACATTCTGCCTCAAGAGACGCATGTTGAAGAGTGTCCATCGGAGATACGTCTTTCTCATTAAAGAGTTTTTCGTTTCTTGCCTTCCAAATATACCAACAGATCCATGGGAAGGTGTCGAATTGTGGTCTCCGATGAGCCACTTCTAACCAATTTATTAATAGAGTATGGTGGATTTGATACCTTATCGTGAAACTTAGTTATTAAATTAATATAATGCGATGTCAAAAAAAATTAATATAATGCTAATTCTTGAACATGATCTAGTAGAGATCATAATGTATTTATTATATAAACGAGCGGCTAGATAGATCCCAAAAAAAAATTGTTTAGTCGAGATATTAGCTATGGAAAATCTTATGCGCTGGGTAAGTAGGTAACTTATCTTTGCATGGGAAAGAAAGCAAAAACAAAGGAAGTAAAGTAAACACAACAAATATCAGATCGTTACATTTATTAGGATGGCTAAAAACCGTCGATTTACGCAGTGATTGACCATAAGAGCTTAGATCTCATATGGACCGTCAGGATCATTTATCTCAGACACATGTCTTATATCGTCTGGCTTTAGTAACGCGACAGAACAAGGTTCATGAACCGCTCCCACCAACACAACAAACGGGATTGTTCCACCATTATTATTGGTATTATTTTATACATTTTCATCACCCCAAAACTTTATCCCACCTTATTTCTCTTATCAATATTTGGGTGAAAACTCAATTTTTATGTTTTGGTAATACAGTAAATCAAAATCAGTGGATGTTCAATAAAAAATTGATAAGAGAAATAAAGTAGGATAAAGTTTTGGGATAGACTTATTCTTAGATTTATTCTCTAAGATGGACATTTAGGTTCATCAACCAATAATATTTGATTATTTATATTTAATATCTTTTAAAACAGAAACACAATAATAAAAAATTTAATTTTTATTATATTTTAAAAATAAAATATAAAACACCAAAAATAGTAATAATTGCAAAAAAAATTATATTGATAATGTTATCAACACAATACTAAATCCTAAACACTAAAATTTAAATCCTGAACTTTGGGGTAAATCTTAAATTCTAAAATATAAAGATGTTAATAACACTAAAACATAAATAATAATCACTAAATTTTATATTCTTAAGTACTCTGAAGGGTGAATTTAAAAATAACTACAATCACCACATGAGATATGTCAGAATTTAGGGAACACTATATTATTTTGTAAAAAGTTCTGGTTAGATATAAATTAATACAAAATGGTCAATCGTATATTACTAATTATAAAAATCAATGGCAATCTTTTGGTAAGAACTGAGAAAATGTAAAAAAAAAAAATGTAAAAAAAAAATGTAAAAAAAAAAATGTAAAACAAATGGTGGACGAACAAAACAATATATGGTAAATACTAAAATAATGGATGATGACAAAAAAAAAAAGATTAATCGGATCGCACTTGACATCGAGTCCTATCGTATGGCACGCTTCTCAAAGCCGATCAGAGAACGACCTCAATATTTTATTTTGTTAAATTGAAGTCACTGACTTTCCTTCTGGCATTCTTTTAAGTTTATATATAAATTGTCAACTTTTTGTTTCTCGCAGATTGCTTTATTTACCAAATAATTTATATGAAAATGCAAAACAAAGCATCACCATCTGCTAGAATCTGACAAGATATCATTCCAAACAAAGAGGAAGATATATAAATAAATTACCAAAAAATGTTTTGGTAAAAACTAAAAATAACTCACAATTGCTACTGACAATAGAGAAAAACAGTCATATTTATTTTGTTTCATAACTTAGAGCATAATCAACCCTAGAATCAACCATAAAAAGGTTCTTAAGAAAAATAAAAATACTCTTTTTTTTTTTGTTAAAAAAGTAAAAAAATTAAAAAAAATGAACCAATTATGGATCGCCATATATCAGTGGAGTTCGCGAAATAGTATAAGATCTAAATCTTAGTTTAGCACTTTTGCATCCACTTCTTGTAATTTTGACGAGTCCCATCCAATTTTTTTGGTAAGAACCAAACAAGATACATGCATTGTTCATGCTCTTAAAGCCTCTAGATAATAATTTATATACAACCGCATAATCCTGATATGTAACGAAGTATATATATGAAATAATAAACTACAAAAAGATTAACAAGAAACATGTTCTTATTGAATCATACAAAATAGCAAATAGTAGTAAATGGTTTTTACCTTAAAAATACATTAATCCAAAAAGACACCACAATCTCGCACTGTTCTTTCAAGTTCTTGGTTTTATCTTCTTATATTGACACCAAAGCATGCAAAATCCTACTAAACGATGACGCTTCGATACAATCGTATTGAAAAATAGATCTTGGTTTTACCTTCGATCTTGCTTTTCTCAATAAAATCGAATTTAAAAAAAAAAAATCCTACGAAACGACACTACAAGAAAACACAAATTTTACTAGGACGGCTTTGCCTCGTAATTTCCTAGTAAAGGATCCTTTACTAGGAAATTACGAGGAAACGCGCTTTGTCGTGAATCGTTCATCGTAAAGCCTTTTTCCTCGTAATTTCCTAGTAAATTTACAAGAAAAAATTTCCTCGTAAACGCATGGAAACACATTTCCTTGTAAAGTTGTAGTAATCAATTTCCTCGTAATTTTCTAGTAATGCTTTACTAGGAATTTACTTCGAAATATTTTTCAACTTTCCTCGTAATTTCCTAGTAATGGTTTACTAGGAATTTACTTCGAAATATTTTTCCACTTTCCTCGTAATTTCCTAGTGATGCTTTACTAGGAATTTACTTCGAAATATTTTTCCCTATTAAAAAAAATGAATTAAAATAAATATAAATAATATATTTTTAAAAATTTAAAGAATCCAAATTATAAATAAAAAAGAAATAACAAAATATTTTATAAATAACTAAATATTTAAGTTTTAAATTCATATACAATTAAAAAGAAAAAAAAAACGAAACTACGAATATCCTCGTTAAATTGACGAACGAAATCGTCATCCCGGCTCGACAACTAGTATCATTGATATACTAGTATCATTTAAAAAAACAGTTAAAAAAACTAAACCAACCGAATCTAAATTCCCTAAACTAGCAACCTAATCTAAATTCCCAAAACTAACCACCTAATCTAAATTCCCTAATCTAATCACTTCACTAGGAATTAGATATTACCTTAAGAGGATTTTGAGAGAAGATTGCTACAAATGAGAGAAATCGGATGACTCGGCTTATATAGGGAATTTAGTTTCCTCGTAAGGTCCTCGTAATTTTACGAAGAAATAGCTAGTCCCGCGTTTAGGGTTGCGAGGACTTTACGAGAAAATCGCGAGTCCCGCGTTTACGTTCCCTCGTAAAGTCCTAGTAATTCTGTTACTAGGACTTTACGAGGAAACATTTTACTAGGAATTTACTAGGAAACAGCGAGTCCCGTGTTTTCTTTTACTAGGGTTTTTTGAGGAAATGGTTTGTAAATCCCTAAACTTGAAACCCCAAACACCAAACCACAACTTCCTTAACTTATAACCTCTTCTACACCTAAACCCCAAATTCTCAAAACTAAACAACCTAATATAAATTCCCTAAACTAACCACCTAATCTAAATTCCCTAAACCTTAAACCCTAAACTTAAACAACCTTCCATAACTTATACCTCTACATCTTCCTAAACCCCAAATCACAAATTAAAAAAAAAACTAAAAGAAGTATACAATCA